CCGAGCCATTGCCTGTCTCTCGTGCTACCACTTTCATGGTAGCGGAGCCTGCTCATTGAGCAGGTTCAGAAACTTTTCCAGGGCCTGTGGCTCCAGGAGGGGAACCTGGAGATCTATGAGTGGAGCAGCAGAAAGCCACGTTGTGGCAACAGTGAACCGGACCAAAGATGGGGTCCCAATGTGGAGTGGAGAGGCAAGCCTCTTTGTTCAGTACGAAGAAGCAGCGCTCCTATGGGAGCAGTCACTGACGTGGGAGAAGCGTTACACTGCAGGACCAAAGTTGGTCCAGGAGCTCTCCGGAGCGGCCCGCCGCTTAGTGGCGGGGCAGCCCCCCGGATGGGTGGCCTACCGTGGAGGAGTCCGGGTCTTGATGGACCACCTCCGCCAAGGACTGGGCAAGCCGAGAGTGAACGAGGTCACCGATCTCCTTGCGGCCTACTTCAAAGGTACCAAGCGCCGCGCCCAGGAGTCCATGAACGACTACATCACAAGAAAGACCGAAGCCTACATGAGAGCCTGTCAAGCCTTGAAAAGGGTACAACCTTACTATGAGCCTTCCGCGAAGACCGACAGGACCTCAGGGCGACGGAACAGTGGTGATGGTGGTTTGTGGACTTGGGGGCGACAGTGGACACCTGCGAGCGAAGGAGATGGAGGAGCCCGTGGTGACGGAGCAACCTACGACGACGATGACGGCGACGCCCAGACCAACACGGACGTCACCGCGACCACTACTGCCGGCTCAGGTGGCCAGCGCTCCAACCACGACTGGTGGGCGCCGGCTTGGGGACCATGGAACAGCTGGTCCTGGAACTCCGGTTGGTCGGGTTCCCAAAGTGGGTGGCGATACCAAGGCTATGGAAGTTCCTCGACAGCATCCTTCGAGGAGGATCACCGAGAGCAGGAGCTCCTGCCCGTGTTCATCCAAGGATGGTATCTCCTCACGGATGCATCGCTGGACTCTCACGAGCGCAACCTGATCATCACCGCCTTGAATGGGAACTTCAACCCCGCTCGAGTCGCTCAAGAACTAAGAAACCAGTTCCCTGAGACTGAGGTGAAAAGGAGAGACCACAGCCGGCGATACCAGAGCTACCTCGGGGAAGTCCTCGAGGGCGACGAGGAAGAAGGCGAGGATCAGGACGGCGACACCGTGGAGGACTACGAGAACGTCTTCAATGAAGAGGGCTTCGCCATGATGACCACCGCCGAGGACGAGGCCCAAACCGCCATGGCGGCAATCCAGACAGCACGGAGGACCCTGAGGGATGCGAGGCAACGCCAACACATGGTGAAACAGAACCGGAAGTACTACCAAGGTTCTGGGCCCCGCACCTCCAATGCTGGGCACGCCAAGCCGAAGGATGATAGCAACCTGGACTGCTTACGCTGCGGAAAGAAAGGACACAGAGCAGCCAACTGTCCTCACAAGCCCATCGGAGATGGACCCTCGGCTCAGGCGAACTTGGCCCAGGCCAGCAGCTCGGGAGAACCTCAGCAAGCCCCCTTCGTGTGCTACATGGACCAGGCCGAGGCCCAGAACACCGAGGAGACCACGACCCTGCCGATGAACAACTTTGTGGGCTACGTCACCGAAGAAGCTTTCCAGACCGGAGCCCCGGAAGCTCCAGAAGGACCGCCCACAACCAGTGAAGCAGTGGCTCGTGGAATGGCTGTGATTGATGGCGGCGCGACACAGACCATCGGCAGTGTCCGCGCGCTCGAGGCCGTGCTCAACCAGAACCGCAAGAAGTATGGGAGCAGTGGATTGAAGGGCCTCAGCAGCGACGAGCCCCCTACCTTTGCCTTTGGGAATTCCACTGAGAATCGATGCCTCAGCACGGCCCAGATCCATGTACAAGCGAATGGAAGCCCAGGTGAACTACGCGTTCACACTCTAGAGTGTGGTGAATCGCCGATACTCTTGAGTATCCAAACTCTGAGAGCACTGAAGGCCATCATAGATTTCGAGGCCGATGTAGCAGTTTTCCGATCCTTGGACCCCCACCGACTTGTACATTTGACCCGGGGAAGTTCAGGACACCAACTCTTGTCCCTGACAGAAGACTGGATGAGCCAATCCACCGAAGCTAAGCAAGCCATCCCCAGCCTTCTGTCGTTCGCCGCCAGCTAGGGACAACACCTTCCTGTTTTCGCCCCTGAAGGAAATGGGAAGGACACGAGTGTTTTATCAGGGAATGGGGAAGATTTCAAGAGTAGCTCTATGGATCACTCTGGGGAAAGGGTTTCCAAGGGAGTTACTTGGGGTTCTAGGGAAACTTTGGAAGTGGATGCAACAGCCTGTGTGTGCAGAGTGCCTGAAGACGCAGCAGTGCAAGCTCCAGTTGGGCCACCTCATCGTCACCCTCGTTGCAGCGATCCTGGCTCAGATTGTAGTGATCCCTGCATTTGCGAGATGGACAAGCTTTCGCGCCCAGCTCTCGTGCTGAGCCTGAAGGGCTATGGAGAGACACCTCCGTCCAACTGGACGAAGGTAGAGTTGTGTGCCCGCCTACAGGAGCTGGCCGACAAGGGCGAGATCATCCCTCCAAAGAAGGGAAAGACCAAGACGCCACTGGAGGAAGCGGTGGCTGCGCTCAACCGAGCAGCTGCCAAGAAGTCAACGCTGCAAGCCCACGTCACCAACATGGGGATCAAGGTCACGGGGAACGAGACCATGGCCATCCTCCAGCAGCGGGCCATGCAGCATTTGATCGCGACCACCGACGGCACCGAGGAGGACAAGATCGGTTTCGGGAAGTATGCGAGCCAGACCTACGGCCATGTCCGACAGTACGACGAACAGTACTGTCGTTGGGCGATCACTACCGCGCAGGAAGGGGAATGCTCGATGTACCTCTCCCGGTTCGCGACATGGCTCCAGGCCAACCCGAAGCCGGCGACACCAGCCTACAAGCCCAAGGTGGACATGAACAAGTTCGTGGAGAAGAAGGAGAAGCCCTCAGGGAGCGGCGACCGGAAGGCCACCTCGGAAGCTTCCAGTCCCGAACTCAAGGAGCATGCCAATGCGAGTGCCGGCACTTCCGAGAAGATGATGATGGAGCTCATGAAGGCGGTGGCCTCCTTGACCGAGGAGGTGCAGACGCTGAAGAACGAGCGGGGCGAGAAGACCCGCAAGGTGGCGACCAAAAGCGATGCGACCATGGAGGAGCCAGAGGACAGGGTTTGAGCTTGGTAGCTAGTAAGGCCCTTGAGCACCGATCCCAGCTTGTTGTGCCCAACATGTTTCAGGAATTGACAGGTCACTCACGAACGGATTTGTTTGAGATTTCATGTGAATCGGACAGTCTGCTTGTGGAAGAGTTCAGAGCGAGGACGGGCCAAAGTGACAGTGCCTGTAGAAGCGCGCAGTGGAGTGGACAAGACTTGTCCACGCCTGAACGTCTCGCCATGATCCTGGAGCAGATTAGGTGTCTTCACCCCAAACATGTCTGGATTGCCCTCCCCGGTGAAGCGTTCAGTAGTCTGCAAAACCTCAACCAAAAGAGCCCTACCCAGGTACGAGACTTGAAGGCCAAACGAGCCCTTGCTACTAGGTACTACGAGAGCACTGAGGAGATCGCAAAAGTTTGTTGGCAAACCGGGATTCATGTGACTCTTGAGTTAGGTGAGCGGAATGAGGCATGGAGGCTTCCGATCATGCAGCGGCTGAGGCTTCACAGCAACATGTATACATGTGTGACCAAGGGATGTTCCGTGGGTCTGAAGGGATCAAGTGGACGGTTGCTTCAGAAGGGCTGGCGGTTGGTGACTACTCACAAAAGACTTTCGGAGATGATGCAAAAACCCTGCAACTGCCCCACCTCTTACGAGCACGGTAGATGCACCGGTAGCAATACCCGAAACTCCTCTAGGTATACTCCCGAATTCCGAAGGCTTGTTGTGGAGGCTTTGAGTCGGGAAGGGGGTTTTTCGGAAATTGTTCAGGAATGCTGTGGAACTTCAAGGTTGCCAGAGGGTTTTGGCCTGGGTTTGAGTTGTTCTTGTGCCGGGGAAGGGACTCGACAATCCTGTGCATGTTGCATGGCCCAAGATACCGAAGCAGGACCCCCCGAGAGCCAGCAGCCTGAAGCCGCCTTCCTTAGCAACACTGAAGCCCAGAACCTCGAACAGGAAGCCAAGCAGCATAGTCGCCAAGGCCAGAAGCCCACTACCAAGGACCTGGAGAACCTCCTTAGGAAGTATCCCCTGAAGAACTTAGGACAGTCCCGAAGAAACCTGGAACACGCCAGTGACTACCACACGTTTGGAACGTATGCTTTTGGAAACCACTATGGAGTCACCCGTAGGACCACTAAGCTTCCGGAGCTGTGTCGATGTGTGAATCGTATCATGAAGCAATACCTTCCCGCCTCTATGAAGTGGACCTCCTTTGTCATCAACTGTGGCACAACCATGCCCGTCCACCGCGACGTCAACAACTCCGATCAGTACCCCAACGGAAGTGTGGGATTCGGGGAGTTCAGAGGGGGAGGCCTTTGGTTGGAAGGTAAAGGGTCCTTGTGTGGTCGGATTGGGAAGGATTCGGTTCGTTCTAATCCGCAAGGGGAGGCCATTCAGGGTCAGGAGTACGACATTCAAGAAAGAGCGGTGATCTTCTCTCCTAAGCAGTGGCATGGTTCTTGTGCGTGGGAAGGTGAACGTTGGGTGGTGACGGTGTATGTGTGCCGAGGATGGAGTCAGATTAGCGAAGAGAGCCGGGATGAACTTAGGAGTTTGGGGTTTCCAGTGCCTTCGGACTCTCACTGTGAAGCGTACCCAGCTGAAGCCCATGTGCATGAGAGGGAGCGCAAGAGAGAGGATGAGAGAATCCGGAAGAAACTGTACTTGTTGCATTGTGCCACTGGTCACAGTAATCCCAAACACATGGTCCAAGCCTTACAACGCCGGGGTGCTGACGATCGAGTCTTGCAGCTCGCAAAGGAATTCAAGTGTGATGTGTGCAAAGAGAAACAGCGACCTCCTCCTCGCAATCTGGCTTCCTTGGAACCTCTTCCTCCGAAGTTGTACACCATAGGCGCTGACATAGGGCATTGGGCACATCCCCACACCGGAGAAAGCCATCAGTTCATGATCATTGTTGATGAGGGTTCCAGATTCAAAGCCGGCCGCATTCTAAGTACAGGCTCAAAGTCGTCCCCTAATGCTCAGGCTTGTTTGTCATACCTGCAAGAGGGATGGGTCCAGTACTTTGGCCACCCGCGGGCCCTTCGCCTGGATCCAGCGGGAGCCTTCAGGAGCACAGCGGTGGAGGAATGGTGTGACCGCCACTCCATCTACTTGGACATCGTTCCCGGAGAGGCTCACTGGAAGATAGGGTCGGTAGAGAATGCTGTCCGAGGTGTGAAAGAGCTTATGTCAAAGCTTGCACATTACGACTCGGACATCACAGCTTCCGAGGCCTTAGCAGAGGCCATCTGGGCCTTCAACCACCGAGAGATCATCAGAGGTTTTTCCCCAGCGCAGCACATCCTAGGGCAAGCCCCCGACGAGACAGGGAGGTTCCTATCAGCGAGCACAGAAGTTCACCCCAACCTCCTTGTTGAGAACCCTACTGAAGAGTTTGAGCGAGGAGTGCAGAGACGAGCCGAAGCCGAAAAAGCGCTGTCTGAGTGGACAGCAAAACAACGGTTGATGAGAGCCCAGCACTCCAAGCATCGACCCTGCTACGATTATGAGCCAGGGGAGTTAGTCTACTACTGGCGGTCTCAGGAATCCAACAAGAGCCGGAGGCAGCCAGGAGGGAAGCATGGACGGTTCCTCGGACCAGCACGGGTCCTGGCAACAGAGACCCGCAAGTCCAGTGATGGTCTAGTGCGGCCCGGTGGCTCTATCTGGCTGGTCAAAGGCCGCAGTCTGCTGAAGTGTGCACCAGAACAGTTGCGACGAGCCACGGAACGTGAACAGCTTGTGGAAGCCCTGGCAGCTCCCACAGAGGGGACTACCCCATGGACTTTCAAGGCCGTGGCGACTGAGATTGGGGGCAACAAATATGAGGACCTGTCCCAGGACTTACCACCAGTGGAGGAGTGGAACCGTGCCCAGCAATTGGATTCAGAGGCACAGCCTACGCGACACCGCATCCGTGGAAAGCGTCACAGCGCACCCCCAACAGCCGAAGGAGACATGGAACTGGATGAGGAAGCAGCGCTGGACCTTGAGGAGCCCGACGCGCAACTCCCTCAGAGAGAACGGTCCCGCTCACGAGGCAGGGGCCGTGATTCCCAGGGCAACCATGTGGACCAGCCCGCAGCATGGTGGACAGGAGTTCCAGAAACCAAGTGGCCAGATCAGCAATCAGGCTACTGGAGTGACAAAGCGGCAGCCGTTGAGGTGGAGTTCTCCTTTCCCGAGAGCAAGCGAGGCAAAGACCACGCCTTCCAGGATCTAGGCGCCTACTTCGTAGGGAACATGAGGAGACGCGCCGTTGAACTCACGGAGCGCCGCATGTCTGAAGACGAGAAGGCGGCCTTCCGAGGCGCGAAAGCCATTGAGGTGAAAAACTTTGTAGCCTCCAAGGCATTTGAAGTCCTCCCCGATCATCTCAAACCGAGCAAAGACGAAGCCATCGGTATGAGGTGGATACTCACCTGGAAGTTGCGTGAAGACGGGTCCCGAAAGGCCAAGGCACGCGCAGTGCTTTTAGGCTACCAAGATGGAGGATACGAACACCGCTCGACCACCTCCCCGGTGATGACTCGTACCACGAGACAAGCACTCCTCCAACTATCAGCCTGGAAGCGGTGGAGTGTGAAGAAAGGAGATGTGACGGGAGCCTTCCTCCAAAGCCGTCAATACCCTGACGACCTCTTTTGCATTCCCTGCCCTGAAATATGTGAAGCCTTAGGTATCGTCCCAGGCAGTGTGACCAGAGTAAAAAGGGCCTGCTATGGCTTAGTGGATGCTCCACTTGAGTGGTATCGGTCCGAGGATGAGTTCTTGCGTTCACTGGGATTCACCCGAACTTGGGCTGACGCTTGTTGCTGGGTGCTTCGGGAGGGCGGGGAACTTCGTGGGGCCATCAGTGGACATGTTGATGATTTCCTTTTCTGTGGTAGGGATGGAGATGCCTTGTGGGACGCCAAGCTCCAGGCCATAAGAGAGAAGTTTAAATGGGGGGACTGGGAATCAGGGCGCTTCACCCAGTGTGGCGTTATCATTGAACAGAAACCCGAGGGCTTCGAACTTTCTCAACCCACCTACCTAGACACTGTCCAGGAGATTGGAGTAAACGCTTCCCGCCGCAAGGATCGCTCCCAACCAACCACGGACCGTGAAAAGACCCAACTTCGTGCTCTGCTAGGAGGAATCAGCTGGCATGCTCAACAAGTTGCTCCATACCTGGCTGCAGAAGTAGGATTGTTATTGACCGAGGTAAGCCGATCGACAGTCGACACCATCATCAAGGCGAACGTGCTCCTGGCCACGGCTAAGAGTAAAAAGGACCACGTCATGAAGATCCACAGCTTCAAGGAGAATGACAACCTCACCATGGTGGCTTGGGTTGACGCAGCACAGGGCAACCGCTCCGACGGAGGCTCCACCCAGGGCATCTTCATTGGGGTAACCACCACCGAGTTGTTGGAGGGCAAGATTGCTGGAGTGAGTCCATTGGCATGGACCTCTCAAAAGATAGACCGAGCATGCCGATCACCAGGGGCCAGTGAGTCTCAAGCAGCGGTGAATGGGGAGGACGCACTGTATGCAGCGCGGTTCCAGTGGAGCGAACTACTCTACGGGAAGCCAGACCTACATCACCCAGATGATCTGGTGAAGCGGACAGGCGGCTGCGTGGTCACTGACAGCCGCAACGTCTACGACAAGCTTGAGACCGAGGTGCTGGTGATAAAGGGGGCGGAGAAGCGGACAAGCATCGAGCTCTTAGCCGTGAAAGAATCTCAGCAGAACACCAAAGTTGAGATGAGATGGGTTCACAGCGAAGCCCAGCGTGCCAACAGCCTCACCAAGGCCGGAACAGTTGGAGCGCGAGAATACGAGCTCTACCACCGGATGGGGCACCAATGGCGGTTGGTTGAGGACGAGGCCATGATGTCAGCAAAGCGACGAAAGGATCTCGGGCTAGCACCACTTCAGAATGCTAAAGCTTCCAAAGTTTCTACTGGGGTTCAACAGAGTTCCGAAAAGTGATCCTAGAATCTATTTCCTTCCAAGTGGCCATAAGAGCCTGTCTCCGAAGGAGACGTCCAACTTGGATATTCCCGGGGGGGGGAAGGGGGCATGCAAGTTTCCACACTTGTGGCTCTCCCCCGTTGACAGGTGATCGCGCCACCTGCAGCTACTCAGAGGATCAAAAGGGGCACCTGCGAGGTGCCGAGGGATTCCGTTAGCTCCGCATAGGAAGCCGAGCCATTGCCTGTCTCTCGTGCTCTTCGAGCCCTCCTCTTTACTGCTTGAACAACGTCGCTACCCCCAGCTGCTACCACTTTCAAGGCTTAGGGTTTGAGGGTTTAGGGTTGAGGGTTTAAGGCTTAGGGTTTAGGGTTTAGGGTTGAGGGTTGAGGGTCGTGTTGTGACCGTGTGACCCTGACCCTGACCACCCCGAAAACCCCCTAATATTAAAACCAAACCCCCAAATCCGAGTTTTGATATTTTTTTTTGGGGGGTGAGGTTGAATAATCAGGGGAAACGATTACTACAATAGAGAAGCAAAAATAATTGCCTGGATCATTCGTTAGGGTTCCTCATTCTCATGATAGTAGAATGGTCCCCAACACCCTATTCTACTTATTAAGGCCCCTACATTACACTTGTACCGGAGCAGACCCCTGTCCTCCATTCAAGCGTAGCAATAGCAGCGTCGTGGTCGTCGTCAGGTCCATCGATAGGTTCTCAGTTTCAGGAGGTCCCCCACCCGTGTCATTCACGGCCGAGCAACAAACCCGCGAAGCTACCCTAAACCCTAAACCCTAAACCCTAAACCCTATTAACCTTATAGCCTGAACTCTGAGTTGGCTTTTGTGCATGAAAATGTTCTTAGGAAACCGAGCCCTGCGAGAGAATATTGTTATACAAAAGCCCTGTGCATCAGCCTCAGATCTCCATCATAGGCTGTAAAACATTCACATCTCAAAGCATCCGAAAGTCGATGGCCCCTTTTCCCCGTTGTGTCGTCCTAGGTTCCTTGTTTTGTTAATCGCGCAATCCCGAAAAGGGAGCCCTTTCTTGTTCCTAGGTTACTGGGGATCCTAGAAGTTCTTGGGGGCCTGAGGCTTAGTTTGCATGGCTTGGGGAAGCCATTCTCAGGATCCTTAACCCCCCCCCTCCCCCCCCCTCCCCATCCTCAGCCCACATCATATAACCCGAGTAGACCACAAACCTGAACCCTGATACTGACCGGTCCAACTAGAATAAGGCAGTACTGGAAGTTCGTTTGGCGTTGCTCCTTGATCACGGTGACTCGGGCTGCAGTCGAGAGGATGTGAGGGTAGTGCAGTGTCTCTTAGTGTCCCGACATGCTCATAGATGCATACGTCTGGTAGCTAGCAAACTCTAGATGTATTGCAAAAGTAGCAAACTGTCCTGTAGCAAAATCGGGCTAGGCCTACTTGGGGTCGGGGGGTGTCTTCTATATCGTTGGCATTCTACTGTAGCACTTACGACTTGTCGGAGATCTATACTCCTCATACTACTTACTATTACCCGAAACCCCAAACCCTTAATCATTCTGGTCCCCATTTCGCCAAAAGACCTTTCGAATCTACACCTCCGCCGAAGGCCGCGAGCACATGAACCCTCAAAGTAACGCTCCCAACCCGATGGAGCCTTCGAGAACTCCCCTTGAATCTTTGTACGCATAGGCTCCATAGTAGTTCCTTTTTGGGATTACCTTTCAGGATCCTAAGCAGAAACCATAAAAAAAGAAACTATAATGCAGCCTATGGGTAGAGCACGTATTGATTCTGGACGGAAGCTTCTTGCATCCCGGATAAATGGAAGGCACGTTCTTCCTTTATGCCAAGCTTGGGACCTATACGGTTTTAGGGTTTGGGGTTTAGGGTATAGGGTTTAGTTTCAGGGTGCGCCATCTATAGGGTTTACATACTGCATACTCCGGCCAGCTCAGGGCTGCCGGGTCTAGCATACCTTGGCACCATAGAGATGCCAGAGGGGTTGGGTTTAGTTCAGGGGTTCGTTCAGGGCCTCAGTGACCTATCATGGTATACGTCCCCATGCAGAATGAAAGGAATCCACATGAGAATCTCTGGGGGTCCGGCGTGAACTGGGCACGAGCCCCATAAATTTCACCAACGCCCATGAACCCTAAACCATGGACTATAAGCTCTACTGTACAGCCTATACCAAAATCCTGCAAGACTTAATCTGAAAGGTGCTCTACAACTGAAGGCCCACCGACAACCCAACACAAAACCCCGGTTTTAAAACTCAAACGGTTCCGTTAGAGTTTACGGAAGTGAGTTTGTCAACCCTGAGCCCTTAAACATTATAAACCCTAAACCGCTTGCAGGTGATCACTCTCTCGGACCATTTGCACATGACGCACTTTCGCGCAGCCAATGTCCTTGCCACAGCCACCCGGAGAGCGCTGCACTTCGGCAGAAGGTAAAAAGGACCTCTAAAAGCAAAGGGTTTTGGGACTGCATGGGGGATCATGGGGGTTATACAAAGATACCACGGCCAATTATACATTCAGACCTCTGCAGTAATTTCATTTTACCCAGGATCCTTCACGGGATTCCGTCAACCTGTTTTTTGAAAGGGGTTCTGTACCCTATACCGCCTATATGCCCTAAACCGAGGGCTCTTGGGGTATGGGGTGGGGATGTTAGTTCTTAAGCTTGAACCTGGGCATGCCGTCCACTGCAGCTCTTTCTCGGGTTAGCTAGCGATGGGTGAGGATCCCGTAATATATGCTAATATAAGAAGCAAAAGAAGCCACCAAGAAGCCTAAGGGTCTGTGTGGTAGATATTTATGGTTAAGAGCTTAAGGTGTAATAGTGAGGAATCTCATTCGCTGGGAGCAGCGATGCACAAAGACTTTTACCATATAACCCTGAACCCTAATACCTAGTTATAGGCTTCGGTTGTTCAGGTTTCGGAGGGAGGGAGCGGTCCTCTGCAGTTCCACTGAGACTTGCGAGGCTCAGGGTTGAGGGAGTCTAGCTACTTTCTAAGTTCGTCTCCAGGCATTTTGTCTCCTCCTTTATCTGCCTCAAGCCCCTGAGCCCCTAAATCCTCAAGTCTTCGCTGAGACCGCCACTTTGCGAGCTGCAAAAATCGCATACGCGGGAGCCGAGGTAAAGCTAGGCGACTGGCACCATGCATTCCGGCCCATCGATATATCTTACGGAGGATAAACCCTAAGCCTAAACCTGGGGGGTTTTTGCAGTCACGTCTTCACGAGGGTTGCACCCCCCAACCCTGTACGAGTTGGAGCCGGCCCCCTTCTTGACAATGAGTTGGAGCGGCCAAAGGCCTTGGGTTTGGCGTCCGCAAAAGGAGCGGCCACTGCAAAATCTACCATTTTTGGGCTTTTGTGGGGTCCCCCCCATTTGGGCGGCTACCAGACGTCCTCTTGACAAGGGTTGATACCCCAACCCGTCAAGAGTTGCAGCACCCTGCCCTTAAGCCTTCACGAGTTGGAGCCGGCCCCCGTCTTCCGGCGCTAGCTTTCCAGGAATAAAAGCATGGAGCGCCTTCAGAAGGCTGGCAATCCAAGGTCCATAGTTGCCAGAATTCTCGCCAGCATAGCCTCGCAGAAAGCCCATAATGCATACTTTCTTCCGGCACCCACCAGGACAACCTTACAAAAAGCCTACATGGAGTGCCCTTCCAGAAGGCTGGCAATCCCAGCTCCGTAGTGGCCACATTCCCGCCAGCATAGGCCTCACAGAACGCCCATATTGTATTCTTCCGAAACCCGCCAGGACACCCTTACAGAAAACCCACCTGCATTGAACATACTTGTGTACGTTTGTGATAGGCCGCCGCCAGCGCAACCTCGCAGAAGGCAGACTGCCGCATCTGGTACCCGCCTCCCAGAATGCCCATGGTTTCTTCCGGCACTCGCCAGGAGAGCTTTTCAGAAAGCCTACATGGAATGCCCCGGCAGAAAGCTGGCAATCCAAGGTCCATAGTGGCCACAAGTCCCGCCAGCAAAGCTTCACAGAAAGCCCATATGCAGTGTTTGTCCGGCACCCGCCAGGATAACCTTACAGAACGCCCACAAGGACTGAACTTTATACTCGTGTCTGTGTGTGCCAACCGCCGCCAGCACAGCCTCACAGAAAACAGATCGCCTTGTCCGGCACCCATGGAAAATAACGTCACAGAAGCAAACACACTGCTGTTTGTCTCCCCAAGCTGGGATGCCTAGAAGACTTTGGAACTGAACCTTAAAATGCCTGAACTCAGGGTGGTTTTCGGGTGGTTGGGGTGGGCTGTTTGCTACGGACAGGTGCGAGCGGCCTGGGTGTGCACACACCAGGGAGCACCCATGACGTTACCACACCCTAAACCTGATACCCTAAACTTAAACCTCTAAACCCTCAGCCCCCAAAGCTTCAGGGTTCTCCAGGCCCGAGCCACCGCATTGAAGCAATAATGCTCCTGATGTCTCTCCAGGGCCTTCTTAAGGGTATAATAAGGGGGCTTTAGGGTTTAAGGTTTAGGGTTGCCGTTTTGAGGGTAAGGCAGAAGGGCCTTTGTAAGGGTACCTGAGGTCTCCCAACCATCCGCTGCGCCGGCTCTTGTCCGTCTTCACCTTCGGATCTATCTTCATCAACTTACAAGCTATGCTGCTCAGTGTGGACATGAACAGCCGGTGTATGGCTTAGGGTTTTGACAGTGCAGAGTTTCTGTCCACGGGTTGCTGATATTCCAAGCTTTTTTTTGGTATACTGTTTTGGTCCATTTTGGGTTTGTGCGGGTTCAGGGTTCAGGGAGCACACAGGCTCTTTATAGTCTCGTTCGGATGAGAGCATTCTGGGTTGAAATGCGAAACAAACTACCATTAATAACGGGATGACTGTGGACTGAGTCATGTGTTTGGGATACTTCGATACTTGGTCGGTGGTCAGCTGCTTCGGCCTTGCTAAAAAACGAAGGCTCCGCACTAGAGCTGACAATGCGATCTTCGTTTGTGTATATGACCCAACTCCTAAGTGGCAACAACATGTCCGCTAATTGTTGCTACTCCATGTTTGTAGGGTGTTTCCTTTTCTCATAGTTTGCAAAACGATTACCGTATTTGTTGCCAACCCTCCGCTCTGATGTATGATCCTCGTCTCTTAATCATTGGCAATAATGTCTCCTTCGCTATATTGTGAAGCCTATTTTGTAACATCTGATCTTACTCTTCACTAAAGCGTCAATACTATTACCCACAATTCTTGGTAGTCCTGTTACATCCCCTTTCGTCTTAATCAGCAACAACATGCTGTAAAATATCTTGTCGAAGAATATTGCTCCCTAGCTTCTCGGACATGGATCAGGCCAGGGCCAACTATCAGGTAATCAGCACCAACCCCAGTCCCTAATTAAGCCCAAACCCTAAATCCGTATCCCTAAACGCTTAACCTAAATCCTTAGCCCTAAACCCATGCCCTCAGGCCAAACCAGGACACCCTGGGTCCTATAGACCCTAAACCCTCAACCCATCTCCGGGGAGCTTTGTTTACATGCCGACTCCCGCAGTCTTTTCTCCCCTGGCGTTGTATTTGTCAAGAGCCTCTAATATCTAGCCTTAAGCCTTGTTCTAGACCCCTAAACCCCTGAGCCCTAAACACCTGAAAACCTACATCCAAGGCACACTCTCATCGGAGAAAGACATGTCTTGCATCGGTCGACTCCATTTGTGGAGTCCTTCAGCCGCCCTATACTGCTTTACTGGCGGGTTCAGGGTTTAGGATGTATCTGAGTATGTAAGCCTTTGAACTTTTCGGGTACATATTGCTTGAAAACACAGACTAACTCGGCAACCAGGTTCAGTCTTTGGGATTTCCATTGCCGTGTTGATTGAAGTTGGGGCTTTGGGTTGCTACATGGTCTGCGAATCTGCCAAGAAGCGGGGAAAGATTCGAATGTAGCTGGAATACTTTTGAAGCCGGAAAAGCTCAACAACGTCGGGTCTGGGATTCGACTGCCACGTGTGCAGCCATCGGGGTGCAGAACCCTCCAACCCGCTAAGCGATGAAGTGTCGTGTAAGTAGTCCAGAGGGTCACCTGTGGGTCGCACCGTTTGGAGCGTAGGTTGGTCTGCATGGGGTTTCTTAGCAGAAGCGTTTGCATTGCAGAAGCTTCAGATGGGGACATTGATGTTAAGTGTTTCACAAAAGGTTGCCTTTCATACCTGATCGAAGCGGGAGGGAGGGAGAGAGAGAGAGAGACAGAGAGCAAGCAACAGACCAGCGGCAGAGAGAACGACAGACATGAAGGAGAGAGAGGGAGAGAGCTGCAACATCTACCTAAAAATTCAGCTGTATGCACACATACATATACAGACATGTACATGCATATACATATTCATACACATACAGACATACATACATACATACATACATACATACATACCTACATACATACATACATACTCGCTCACTCACCTGCATGCACACTCACGTACTTTGTTTCCCACGCACTTCCTCACGTACTTACTTACGTACTCACTCACTCACTCGCTCACTTACTTCCTGACTCACCTACTGATTTACCTCCTTACTCACCGACCTTACTTACTTACTTACTTATTTACTTACTTACTTACTTACTGGTTTGCTTTCGTTCTTTGCTCATTTCCTGAATGCTTTTGTACAGACCGTCATACATACATACATCCATGCATGCAGGCATGCATGCATGCATGCATGCATGCATGCATGCATGCATGCACACATACCTGCATTGACTCTTATAAACATACTGTACATATACACATTGTATGTGCAGTGCTTATAGATCGTCGCGTGACTCTGTGGCTTGATTTTGTTGGTATGTCGTGAATGTTTGTACTCGGCACACGCATCGACACGTAATTGCCTGCCAATCCAGGTTCGGCAGATCGAATCACGTAAAAGCCGAAGAACAAAGCAAAACCGATGCCACGAATCCTCGACCCGTAGCCTTCAACCCGGCAACCCCGAGCCCGAATCCGCCCCTGACGACCATCAGGTTCGAAGGGCTCAGTGAGGTGGTTCCAAAGAGCTTGCAGCCGCTGCCCGAAAAGCACAAGGCCATCAGGGGAAGAGTGTTTTCGGGGCCGGCGTTGAGGTGTGATGGGCATACGCCGAAGCCCTACTCCCGAATTTTGTGGGCATTGGGATTCGTGGTAAAAGGTTCGCAGATCTCAGCTCTTTTGCGACTCAGTTTTTTTGTGATTCAGACTCTTGAAGGAAGAGACTTTGGGCGAACTTTGTTTCGCCATCGTAAGCTGCACAGTCCATGGTCGCAGAGGCGTTGCTGTGGCAGATCATGATGCTTCTACCAGTGACCGGTCCACTCAGAGCATCCAGTCCGTGACGTATCTCACTCACTCCACCCTGGAGACACAATGCTTAAATCCCGGGCCCTACGTCCTAAGTTCTAAACCTTAAAACCGTAAGTCTTAAACCTATTAATTACACCTGAAATGCTTCATCCGAACCCTTAAATCCTAAGTTCTAGACTTCAAACCCTGAATCCTGAAGCTAGGCCCTGACTTGACGCTCCCTTGATATCTGAAATCACGAATCCTTTTTCGGGTTTAGGGTTTAGGATGCCCTAAACCCTAAACCCTTCAGGTTATGTAGGAAGTGGCGACAGGCTCTCCTAAAGGACGAAGAGTTCAATCAGCTTCCCGAGAAGCTGAAGCAGGTGGAGGGGCCTGCGTTAATTTAGGGTGTAGGGGTTTAGGGTTTAGGGTAAAAGGGTCGGGCTATGAGTCGAGGCTCTATCGAGGGAATGAAGTGGCGTTCGGAAGGTTCACATGAAGCGAAGGGCAAGTGGAGGCTCGGAGCAGCGACTGTGCCTCTCTCTGTTCGTGCAGTGCTGAGGGTTAGGTAGGGTGCCTTGCCCGCCCGAGTGAAGGTCAGGCTTGAGGGTGTATGCACCGGACGCAGAATCCACCAATTAAGCAACCGAGACGCACAATTCTAACACTGTCTTGTCAATTGTTAGATCAGTTCCCTCAGCGTGAGCATAAACCTTGCCACAATGAAGGTGAGCGCCCCTGTAGCAAAATAAGCGTAAGTCTGATGCAACCGGTCCTGACGATGACTTTGTCCATAACAGTGGTGTTCCGTGCGAATTGACATGATGATGCTGCTGCTGATGATGANNTCATAAATATACTATAAAGGAGCCCAAAAACCTATTCTAAGTATTAAGGCCCAATAGTGGCGTTTGGAGTGCAGAAGCCTAGGGTCGTGCACTTTGGGCCATTCGACGGCTGTGATGGGTTCTTATGTAATGTAGAGTAGACCCCTGCCACTTACCCCCCCCCCAGCCGAATACTCGGATCCCCACTAATTATAGCTTTTGAAGGGTTTAGGGTTTAGTTATTAATCAGGGTCAAAAACAATGTCAAATATATAATGTCCTACGACCCTAAACCTTAAACATCTGAAAGAATCTGAAAGGAAACGGATTTGGTAGTGAATATCGTCGATGTCTCAACCGTTAAAACCCAACGCGCGAGAACCCGAGCGCTCAACACTCAAAACCAGCCGCAAAGATCTAAACACCATGAACTTACTCAAAGCGCAAAACAAATGGCCCGAAATAGAAAAGCCATGCAACCCCGCTACACCCTAAACCCTAAACCCTAAAAGCTGAAGGAAGTGCGGCAAAGCTCCAAAGCCGAGACCGGCCCGGCTCCGATAGGGGCGGGAGGAGTTTCGGCTTTAGGGGTTTAGGGTTTAGGGCTTAGGGTTTAGGATTTAGGGTCAGGGTTTTCAGGTTTTGGGTTTTCGGGTACTTGAGTGGGTTCCCCAAAACAAAGGGCATGTTTCTGTTGGGGGGTTTGGAGGACGTTTGAGGGTTTCTGTTCTGTCTGGAAGGGGTTTAATCCTTGTTTCAGGGGTAGGGTTTGAGAGTTCAGGGTAGCCAGGATCCACTGTGGCTATGGAGCCTGAAACTACCCGATGATAGGTACGACTGTGAGCCATAAAGGTGAGCCATGTCGATGTCTGCCGCGTCCCTCAGTAAGCCTAGACCTGAATCACTTCTTTCTGCATGCAAGCTCAGCGATCGGATGTGAAGGCCGCCATTCACAACAAAACCCTCAACCCTAAACACCAAACCCCTCGGAGCCTTGAACCTAAAACCCGAAAAGCCCTTAATCCCCAAACCTTCCACCCTGAGCCCCAAGTTCTCTCCCAGTTGCTTCTTCGGCGCCAGTTCCACCGGGTACCGAGGCCAGAGATGCCATAGGGCGGGGCCTGCATAAGGGGCCTCATAGTTTTCAGAAACTATAATAATGGCAATAATAATAATAATAATAACAATAATAATAATAATAACGGCAACCCTTCGGACTAGTATTGGAGTTACAAAGGCCGTATAGTATATTACTGGATGAAGACACTTAGTTTGGTGGTCAAGGTGTGGTCCGTTGCCTGTTTGAGTGTTGCTGCTGCGGCGGATCATCAGGAGGAGGTTGATGGCCATGATAGGTAGAACGATGACGGCCATGGTGACGGTGCGATGATGATGATGATGATGATGATCATGGTCACGATGATGATGATGATGATGATGATGACGATGATGATGATGATGATGATGGCGGTGGCGGTGGCGGTGGCGGTGGCGGTGGTGGTGGTGGTGGTGGTGGTGGTGGTGGTGGTGGCGGTGGGTGGTGGTGGATGGGTGCGGCGGCTGCTGCTGCTGCTGACGGCTGGGGCCATCATCACTATCACGATCATCGGTGCACAGTAGCAGTGTCTTGATTTGATGCTGATACCGGCACGTCTGTCGCATCTCCAAGGCACCTTACTACTCGGATGGAAAGTTGCTGTTCAATGCTGAGAGGCCGGCGTTTCGGTTCAGGGCTTCGGGATATGGAAGCGGATTTACCGGAGTCGTGACTTCGAGGCATCAAGTTGCAGTACTAGAAAAGGTATATGAGTAGCTCTCTAAATGACATGAGGGTTCCTTTTAGGATCCTTTTTATAGGAATGCCGTACTATATTGGGGACCCAGACAGCAGGGGCCCTAATTTGGGAGAACTACCCATATGGAATGACACTTCTTTGGGCTGGATGATTCAGCAAGGCAGTGGCTGACGACTTGGGAGGTAGTTCATTTGCAGATCTGGTTTTGTTCTCGGGCAGCTTGAGATCTTAATTGGCCCTTGAGTTCTGCTGGTACGCTTCCAAGAGAAAGGCTGATCGATGCTTTGGCTTGAGCCCGCAAGGTTAGCATCTCAGTTTTCTCGACACTATGAGTTTGCTTTCGGTGCAGGGAACCCGGCACGGGTAAATCTTGGCCGTTTCTGAATCCTGGACCCTGTTTTGAACAAAGACCAGTTTGTTGTCCGTCAAAAATCAGCAGAACGATGACATCCAGCTTTTCGGAGGAATCTCTTGCGGGAGTTCAGAAAGCTGTATGCGTGACTCGGACGGGCTGTTGAGAGAACCCACGTCGCAAACCTAATACCTGCTGGAGACTCAGCAGGTTGCTTTGCAAATGGCAATGCCAAGAACCGCAATTGATATCATGATCAGAAATGACGGTGGTAAAGACACGTAGATATGACAATGCCAACAATTAAAAGAGTCTTAGTTCGATTGTATTACAACAGTACCAATATTGCTGATAGTCTCCCAAAGCCTCAACCCGATAGCATATAGCACTGTGAACGACAAGCCCCCAAAACCAGGAAGCAAGGATCCTTGTCTAGTTGAACAATTAGATCTGTGAAGCCAGCAGCTCTTGACTGGGTAAGGGGAGACTGCCGGACAGCAACACAATCCTGAACCACAAGCCCCAGCCATATCGGCCTTACAGCTAGATTAAGATCCAGTTGACAGCTCGGGTCGTAGAGCTTAAGATTCGCGAGGAGGTTGTTCTTGATTGTTTAAGCTTGCTTAGTGACTTAGTGCCCCCCAAAACTCCGACATAAAATCCGCAAAATCCATATTCCTAATCCCACCGGCGAACTCAACAGAACTCGTACCCCGAGACATGAAACGCCACACCACACGAAGGGTTTAGGAAGTGCATGAAGCGATTCCCGCGCCCTCGACGAAAGTAGTCACAGCCGTGCAGCACGACTTGTCTGTGTCTGACCATGCCTTCAGAGGTTTGGGTTCCGGGAGTCTAGGGAGTTTGGGTTAGTCCAAAGGTTTTTTGAGGTGCTTAGTAGGGTTTAGCTGTACAAGGAAGAGCTTTTCTTAGCCTCGACTAGAAGACGAACTGTAGCGCAAGATTCCATCCTGGTATTGAAGAGCGATCGAGTTGAACTGCGACTTCGTTTCTTAATACAGTTCGCAAGGAGTCAAGAAGCACTTGGCTTCACGAACCGATGATAGTAACCACTTCGGGAAGTATTTGTTCGCAGCCCGTATACTGTTACATGGGAGTTTCAGTAATGTGGGCCTTCCAGGATACACTAAGATGCCAAGCCGGAAGATCCTTACGATAAGGATTTGGGAAGACGGCCGCTCATCATACCTCTTCGACGCATGCCATCTATAGTATGCGGGACTGCATACTACTTACCAAAGTACTCATATTAACTTGAATACTATACCCTTATAGTCCCTAATTAAAGTATGACAAAACATGCCCGCCAAGCCCTATTCTAAACATTCAGACCCTATTGTAGTAGTTATGGGTCCTTTATTACTTATCTTTGAACTCTCGAAGCGGTGTGGTGTGACGCGCGTTCGCCTTGGCTCCCAAGCTCGGGGTCATCCCGGCGACAAGAAGCATGCATGCTTAGGGTTTGGAGTTTAGGGTGTAGGGTGTAGGGTTTTTTCACCGCAAAGCTCGAGATCCAATGCGAGTGATGCAGGTGGCATGAGAGATGTAATGTTGCGATTGAGGGAATACCATAAGAGGCGACTATAAGGGTTTGTTCCAGCGACTTGAATAATTCAAAGAGGGTGTGGGGCACACTACAGAAAGTATATTCATCATAGAGGCCTTAGTCATGACAATATAGCTTGTGGCACCATATTATTTTGTAAGTTTGAGGAAGGATCAAATGCTGCAGGGTTGAATGCTTGGCTCCGCCTTCCTTCATCCTGACAGTCCGGACAATCATTGCCTAAACCCTAATTCCCAAAGCCTAAATCCTAAACCCTAATCCCTAAACCCTAAACCCTTCCCAAACCCTAAATCCTAAACCCTAAACCCTAAACCCTCAAGCCTAAACTCTAAAAATCCCTTCAATGCGTCACGACTGAGGTACGGGGCCGTGGGCTTCTGCAACTCCAAGGACGAGGTGACCGGCCCAGAGGCCTGCGATTTAGGGTTTAGGATTTAGGGTGTCAGGTTAAGGGTTTAGGGTTTAGGATTTAGGGTGTCGGGTTAAGGGTTTAGGATTTAGGGTGTCGGGTTAACTGTTTAGGGTTTAGGATTTAGGGTGTCGGGTTAAGGGTTTAGGGTTCAGAATTTAGGGTTTAGGTGCTAGAAAGCGATTAGATTCCTTAGTGCTCCTGGTTGTAAGTGTACTATAGTTTGCCACGAAACGCTATTATTCTTCTCATGCACTAGTTATCGAGGCCCTTATGGTTCCTCGCGAAAGAACTGGACACCAAACCCTGAAGCCCTCACTCCCGGGCCCGCCGCCCTGTCTCACATGTAGACGCAGCAGGTCCCCAGTATAGAAAAGGAGTGAAGGCGCGATTCCTAGTCTGCCTTCTCGGCCTTCTGCTAATTATGATTCAAGGCATGAGACACACCGGCATGAAGCTTAAAAGCCAACCCGTTAGCCCTTGCGACTGAATCGCTTCCGCGGAATCGAACCTGACTAGCCGCGATTTCCAGCCTTTCTCCACCCCGGCAGCATTGCATAATGATTTACTATCGGTACAGGCCTAAGGGGATGACAGCCCAAGTCTCGATGAAGACGTCAACCCCGAACGTCTCCCGAACGTCGACCTCTCTACTCGATCAGCGCCTTTCTGGCTGTTTCAGCTCATATTGCTGCTGTCCTCGGTCCCGAGACCCTTGCAGCATAATCCCTAATTAAACGAACCATGAGGCAATGCAGCAGTAAGCTGCTCACCCATCTCAGACAAGAGGGTTCTAGACCGTGTAGAAATGCGGTCCCCGTAGACCACTCAAAAGGCTCTGGAGGAGCAGGGTTCATGAACACTGGCCGCTGTTGTTACAAATGCCCGGATGAAGTAGTATCGTCTATATAGTCTATATATTATTTCAGATGACTGGAATGACCATCGCCGTTGGGATTCTGATGATGGTGTGGGGCACGGTGTGGGGGGTTATGGTTGCTGTTCGTGTCGTGCTCGCGTATAGCATTGGGGGTATAAAAGTCGAAGCACCGAGAGTCCCGGCACAAAAGGTGAAGCAGTTTCTTGCCGAGCTGGTGGCAGAACATCACTCAGCGCACTACAATACCTCCGACTACTCAAACGCAACTGCGCCTAAAGGTTTGGCGGAAGGGTTCGTTCTATGCTCAAAGAGGCTTTGGGGATTTATCGGCACAAGACTTCGAACTCGCAATGAGCTAACCCTAAACCCTGTCCGTTACCCCTAAACCCTCAACTCTAAACCCTAAGCACAAGGCTTCACCAAGATGGGTTTCACTGTGTGTTTCAATTTTGCGGCTGCGCATGTCCGAGGACTAGTCGTAATATTCGCGAAAAGCAGCAAGTGTAGGTCTCAGAGTGTTTTTGTGTTTTGGTACAGTAGTTACAACTGTAGTCAAGCGCTTGTCGTCATACTGGCAAGTAGTGGTGAAAGGCCTAAGCAGCAGGCCGCATCGAGAAGGGAGGGCTACGCTTGAAATGTGCGACGGCTGTTTTCGGTGTGCTTATAACCAGGATGCGTTTTTCGGATGCATTAGAACGCCCTCTCTTCTGAAGCCTGTGCAGTACGACAGCTCAACGACCGAAGTTAACTTCCGTTAACTAGATAATTAGATGGGACTGCATGATACCTCCAAGTTTGCCATATGGTACGCTAGAGGTACCAAGTGGTGCATACTTGTCGGTGTCCTTAAACGATTTTGTGATGCAAGTTCCAGCACCCATCGGTTGAGTGCTGTCTAGGCGATGTCGATGAACTTTGTATACGGGGTTTCTTTCCATGGTTCCCTCACGCTGATTTAGGCACCGCAGTCTTCAAATCCTGAACACCAAGCCCTAACCCCCAAACCATCTGCCAGCCGACTCTGGACTTCGAAACCTGGTTCTCAACATCCCATTCTATCACAGCTTTTTCGACACCAAGACAAGGCCACCTGCACCGAACTCTTTGAGGAGCACCTGATGTCGCTGGACCTTGCTGTTCTAGAATTTTTGGGGTGCTGTCGCATCGCTCCCCCTCTCTCCCTCTCTCGCTCTTTCTCTCTGTCTGTCTCTCTCTCTCCCTCTCTCTCTCTCTCTGCCTTACAGTCAAAATAAGAGAGGTTGTCATAAAATGCATAGATACATAAGTAGATGAAAATGTGAGCATAAACTAGTAAGTCAATCATTATCATATCGAGCAGATGCGGCATATTTATGACCCAATCGTGCTGTTCAGCGCTTACGGAGATTGGTGGTCTTAGCAGTGGAGCGCTAATGTAGGCCCCTGATCTTTAAACCCCTCCCATCTCCAGGGATAACACTAGCGATCCTTATGTGTATGTATATAAAATGTAGGCCCAAACCAATAAACCCCCTCCCATCGATAGAGACATGCATGTTAGATATGTATGTGCACATATATATATATATATATATGTGTGTGTGTGTACATATGTGTATATAT